TATAGGGCACGTGCATTTGTCAGACAGACAGAGAGAGACAGAGAAATACAGAGATAGAAAGCGAGAAATCACCCCCCAGGGAGGATGACCACGCCGCAATCCCTTCTCCTCCATTCTCCTCTCGGGATCCTGGGCACACATGCACATATGACCAGCGTGAGTTTAAGCCACTGGGTCCGGGACTCGAACCGCGGTCGACTACATGGGAGTCCAGCGACATAGCCATTACGCTAACTGCTGGTCCCTCAAGATGTGTTTTAACAGGAGGATATCCTCCCCACTCCTTAATGAAAAGTCAACCTGGTATCGTATGATTTTTCTGAGCACTCACGGGTATTAGAAAAAAATCGTGGTCATTGTAAGTTGCCAAATGCTATTCTGATTCAGAAGTTAGAATGTCCTGTTTGGTTTAACAGTCAATGCCAACTAAAAACACTGCCTTGTCTGGCCCTTCTGATTTGGGACAGGAGGGCATATCTGGGCAAGGGAGGGAGCAAAGATCTGAACTTTAAAAAAAAAATTATTTATTATTCTTCAGTTATATAAGAGAGACACACAGGAGAGTGAGAAAATAAGCCTCTAGATCTGGGACTTGAACCATAGTCGGTCATGTGGGGAATCCATCACCTTAACCGCCACACCACCTGCCGGCCCCAACCTGAACTCTTGATGTTTACTGTCCTAAACTGGCCTCACTTCCTGGGTCTGGCCAGTGCTTAGTTCTATGGAGTGCTGTTCCCCATCTCACTTCTCATCAGCAGCTCCCCAAGTGTGGTGCTGCTCTCTCCTTGGACCCACTTCCTCCTCTGCAGCTCCCAGGAGTCCAGTGATACCTCCAGCCGCTTTCTGCTGAGTTCTGTTCACTCCTAGAAGTAGCTCTGCTGCACAGGCCCAGAGATGACCCCCAGGCCAGCTTGGTGATCTCTGCAGCCCAGGTTTGCTTTCCTCCCTCGCCCTGTCAAGTTTGGGGTGTGCTAGTCAGCCCCAGTGCCTCTCTTCGCTCAGATTTGACAGGTGAGTCAGACACCTGTCTGTGGAGTCCCCATCACTGTAGGTGCAAATTTCAGTCTCTGCATGTCTCCCAGAGCTCTCTAGACCAGGGATATGAAGGGATCCTCACCTGTGACATGTGCATACACAAATACTCCTGAGGAGGGGTGGGACTCAGTACTGCTTTCTGCAGAGAAACCGTTTCTACAAATTCTATGTTTAAACATCTGCTCTTGGTCCTCTGTGCCCTGATTGTGGGTGACGGATTAAAGAGTTGGAATCAAGACTCCCGGAGTAGGCAGCCAAAGTACCATCAGGAGTTGTTGCCTCTCATGGGCATTGGTGCCATCCTCTCTGGCTGGGTTTTCTACACATAGCCCAGTGTAGCCTGCGCACACCCCTGCAGGTGTAGACCAGCCTTGCAACAAGCCAGTGCCTTCAGTGAGAGGAAGAGCCAGTCTGAAAACTCAAACTCCTCAGGCCAGAGTGTTCTAACCGAGCCTGCCGTACGTGAGATGTGATGGGGGAGCAGTCAGATAGCTAGGAGCAGGGGTATGTGCTGTAAAACTTCAGAAGGTGTTGTTGACATTGTAGTCCAGGTGACAGGCCCAGAGAAGGGGGACCGTCCTTGAGGTTTCTGTGGCATCCAGACACGAGGACTAGTAAAGAGGGAGGGTAGAAGTGAGGTACTGGGAGGCGGGAGTGAAGGGAGTTGGTGACTTGGTGGAGAGGGGTGGTCAGGGACTAGGTTGCTAGGTGAGTGTTCATGTGGTGTTATCTGGATGGGGAAGTCGGGAGACAGCAGCGTGAGAGGAGGGAAGAAGCATGCGAGGAGCTTAAGACCCTGAACAAGTCAGGGACGTAAAAGGCATTGAGAAACTGCCTTGGCCTGCACGGTGTGGACCTGGGCCTCGAGTGGGAGTGGTGGTGGATGCAGAAAGAACACACACAAGTAGAGAAAAGCGGGGATCGGGCGGTCTGGGCATCTCTGATGGAGATCACCGTGACCCTGAGCCTTTCCCAGGTCTATTTTATAGAGCAGTGGGAGAGGAGAAACAAGATAGAGCCAGATCTTTTCTCTTGTCGGCTGCAGCTGTGGAACATCGCGTGTCCTGGGGTTCTAGATTAGTCTCTCCTGGCCTTTTCGGAAGCTTCCTTTAATTTACACTGCCCGGCAGTGCAGTCGAAGCTTATGTCGTTAGTTCTTTCGCTCGTCCTGCAGCGTCAGCACAAAGACCCTATCTACTTTAAAGGTCAGCGCCTTGTCCAGATCTGGATGCTCCCTACAGAAGGCTGCTGAAATGTGGGCAGGGGTGGTAGCGGTGGCATTTGGGAGCAGGGCAAATGAAGCGTGGCTGGGACCTGGCTTTGCCAGGCATGGTGCAGGGAGCACCCTTTACTCCCATACACATGGACTCGCGGGCATCTGCCCTAACAGGGCTGGAGCAGAGGGAACACAGCCAGTTCTCCTTGGCCATTTCCTTCAGACTGAGCTTTTCTCATGAATCAGATGAGAGAGGTGGGAGGAATTTTAGGTGTTTATTACAGCGCAGAGTTTGAAAATAATTAGCACATTTGTGAATTCTATTAAGGTCTGTGGATTTCAGGGATTCTGAGCCTAAGATTGGCTTTTGTTGTGCTTTGTAAAAAGCGGTAGCCATTTTTCTTTGTTGAAAGCAGACCCGAAGTAATGTTCGTAGATTGGTTGGCTGAGGCGCTTCTGTGTGGCCCAGCAGCCTCCTCCATCAGTCATGCTCCGTGAGACCCGATGCCGTGGTAGATTAGAACCAGAAAAGATCTGGAGGAATAGCGGTCAATGAGAGGTGTTCAGGCACTTGCCTGGCTCCCAGCTAATGAGAGCAGAGACAGAGAGACGACTCAGATCTGGATTACGTTTTCCTTTTTGTTCAAAGTGGCATATTGAACCGTGAAATCGGGATGGTATTTCCTCCGTTGTGCAGGTAAGAAACCCAGAGCTTTCTGGGGGCAGAGTTAAAAATGCAAGCATCGCCAACCTCCCCTCCACCCCAACGTTGCTGCCTTTAATAGTGCCGAGAAGGGTAACTTGAAGAGGACATAGTTTTGGGACCAGTGTGATGGCTACGTCATTGGACTCTCACATAGTTGACTGTAGTTCGAGTCTCGACCCAGTGGCTTAAAATTCATGCTGGGCACATATGCGTGTGTGCCTAAGATCCTGAGAGGAGAATGGATCACCCCTGGGGGGCGATTTCTGTCTCTGGTAAGCGCATGCATCCTATAGCAAAAAAAGTATTTTTCTAGTAAAAAACAAAAAGAAGAGAAAGGGCATAGTTCGCCTCCATTATATTGGGGGATTCTCCTTGATTGTCTCCTGAACTAAGTTGCTGGGACTACAGAAAAGGAGGGATGGAAGTGAGAGGTGCTAGGAGATAGAGCTGATGGGGATGGTAGGACCCCACTGATGGCCAGGGGTCTAGAGGTGGGTGAGAATGCCAATCACGTGGATGGGTGTCAGAGGAAAGCATGGGGCAGGTGCAGATTTGCCCCTTGTGGTAGTACTGCTCCCCATGGGGAAAACAAATGATTTTGGAGTCGCACACCTCTGTAGTGTCTTTAAGACAGCTGGGGACAGTATGCACCCTGCCATCATAGCTAGGCATGAAGACATGCCATAGGTAAGATGATGGGTGGAAGCAGAGATGATCTCTTTTTTTTAAGAGATTTTTCTATATGGCGTGTGCACTCACCAGAGAGACAGGGACAGAAAACAAGAAATCACCCTCTAGGGGGGATGGCCACACTGCAATCCTTTCTCCTCCATTCTCCTTTTGGGATCTTGGGCACACGTGCCTGGCGTGACTTTTAAGTCTCCGGGTCTTGGGCTCAAACTGCCGTTGACTGTGTGGAAGTCTATTACACCATCTCCTGGTCCCATTTTTAAACACCTGTCAGTTTGTCTGTCTATCTATGTATTTGTTTGTTTATTGGGATTTTCAAGCCACTAGGTTCAGTACTTGAACTGTCATTGGCCATGTGGGAATCCAGTGCCCAACCACCATGCCACCTGCTGGCCCGAGATGACCTCTGCAGATTTCAGAAACGTGGTCAGTATTAAAGGCAGTAAGAGGGGGGCACTCCAGAGGTAAAAGGATATGGGGGCTAATGGGAGACGTGGAAGAGCATCTGCAACCTCAAGCAAGTCCCTACGATGTTTATACTCTTACTGATTTCTTTCTACAGTCTCCCAGGAGGAGGCTAAAATAAACCATCTTGGAGGCTCAGATGTTCCGATTTTAGAGGTAAGGCTTTTCATGTAACAATGGCAATAAGCTTGGTTGTATGCAGGAATTCTTTCAGCTTCTGCTCTTTGCAGACTGCCAGCACTTATCTAATTTCGGTACTCCCATTTTAGAAGGACTGTAGAGAAGTTGGAGAAGGTTCAGGAAGTAGCATCGGTATTACTGAAGTTAAAAGTAATACAGAATAAAATCTGAAGAAATAGGTTATATTTAAATGTGACAGGGTGTTAGAGAAATATCCCAGTGGGGAGAGCCTTTAGCTACCAAACCAAAGGGCAAAATTTTAATATCTCATGTAAATTTGGGGGAAAAAGAAAGGAAATTGTAGCCAGGATTAGGAAACCAAGTAACTTTGTGCTGAGTAAACAATAATAAAATCAAGAATGTAAAAACAATCTCAATTGTATGCCAACTGTTTAAGCTTTACTTAAAGTAAAATTAAGAGTATGAAACCTATTTGACAATGAGTACAAATCCAAGAAAACCCCCAAAATAAAAAAAGCATATATAAATGCTCTTAACAATGCAAAAACTTACATCTATTAATTAAATACATAAACAGCATTTGTTTAAATGCAACATATGTTGTATACTGACCTCTGCAGTCAATTTTAATCAAATGCTACACAAACATGTAAATGTGATTGATTTTAACAATTTAAATTAAACCCACAGTTTTGATAACTGAAAAGCCTGCCCGTGAGCTGACAGCCATGGCATGTGTAGAGGAATGACTCCCAGTAGACTTAATTTTGTGGGAGGAAAAAAAAAAAAAAAGGATTGTGACTAATGTTCAGATCTGAAATGAATGAGGTAAATTTATTTCCGCGTTGTAGGATCCTGTACCATGTTCTAAATCCTAGATCATTCCTAGAATGTCAGACCAGGTAGGAGCCTTAGCAATAATGACCTAGGTCTCTCACTGGACAGGTGAGCAAGGGAAGCTGGAGAGGTGTGTGATGTGGAAGGTCACGCTCTGGGCCCAAGGTCGCTAGCCTGGAAGTCCTTCCCTGAATGATGAGCCTCGGCTTGCTGGTAAGAAACAGAATCTCGTGTGTGTGGCTCTGTCCAGTTTCCCGAAGCCCTTTGATGGTCATACCAGCTTTAGATAGTTACCCTACCAATATATCATTAAGCAAACCAAAATATATCCTCGAATCTAAGCCTTATGGATGTGGGACCCCAGTGGGAATGGGCCAGATGTTTGGGGTTGATGTGTACCCTGTACCTCCTTTGTCACATGAGAGTAGTTTGAACTTCGCCATCAATAACTGGTTCATTCAGACTGGTTCCTACATGTTTGTGGCCCCACACTTCAGGGAACCACCTGGCTGCAGTGGTTTCAAGGCACCATTTTTGTCCTGGGTTCACAGTTGGGCAACATCCGCTTCTAAATCTTACAGTCACAACCAATCTCCACGTCACTGAATCTGCACTAAGTTGAATAGTGATTGATACAGTCATTTTTAGCTGGCCTGTCCCCATCTCGTCCCTTCTTTAACCCAGAGAAACCACTGACCCTTCTGGAGAAAGGAAGGTTCTGAGTTCTTGTGCGTTTTTGTTTAAATATATGTATAGCAGAAGCTGATGTCAAGGCTTGTTAGTAAAGTGCACTTTAAGTTTTGTGACCTAACCTAAAAAGAGGTACTTATAAAAAACGTATGCTGAGTCTGTGTGTCGCGGACAGCCATCTATAAAATACATGCATATCTTATACAGTCTTCTTTAGAGACCCTGGTTGGTTACAAAAGAATCAGAGGGGGAAAAAATGATCACTAACATGTTCTGGAAGTTATTGGCTATAAATCTCCTGGAACCACTTGGACTTGGCAAAGAGAATTTTTGGTTTTACTGATCTGGGAGGCCCACCTTGATTGCTCATCCCAGCAGGGAACCACCAGTGGCTACTAGAGCTAACCTCCCTTCTTGAGAAGAAAATCAAGTCTAAACTTAAAACAAGGTCTCGTCTCTTCAATATTTTTCCCTTTTGAGATCTGACAATAAACCCAATGATTTGTTTACCTTTTCTGCCTTCTCCGTGGAGTTTCGATAATTCTGATTACATTATATGTGTTCTCTTATTTTGGACATTTGTGTAGTTAATTTTAGACATTTAGCCTTTGAAAGGGCAGGCAATAGGGCCTTTTCTTACCTTTTTTTTTTTTAGATTTTCTCTACATCCTGTTTTATGTGTGGTTAGATCAGCTGATGAGTCATGTGATGTTTTGCTGCTTCAAATGACAGGAATCGAGATTCAAAATAACCAGGCAGAGGAGTATCTTGAATGCTGACCAAACACGTTGCTCAAAAACATGCTTTTTTATGGTTCAAATGCTTTTTATAAAAGAGCAGTATGAAGGCCATGTGGAGGGGACTGTCTGGAGGATGCAGGCAGAGCAGCTGGATTTAGGGAAGTGGCCGGCTGCCACTTAGACATTGTAACACTTGCCCAAAGCCCTACCACAGCTGTGCTGCAATCTTGGCTTTGGAGGAGGAGCAGGAGGCAGGATTCAGAAAGACCCCTTTTCCAGGACTGTGCATGTATGAGTGATGGAAGATTTCATCCTGAGTTTAGGGGTCAGCTCGCCTGTAGTCAGTGGCTAGAAACCATGGCTGACTGGTAAAGCCAGCACATGTCCTGGATACTGGTCTGCTTAGAGGTTTAGAAGTAGAAAAATGTCTAGATCCAAGAAAATGTCCTCTCCAGGTAATGTCATTTAATGATAGCAATGTGTATAAGTACTTTGTATCTTGCCACACATACTCTTTACTCTTGGCTTATTTCACTTTCAAGGAAAAGAAGAAGCCAGACGAAGAGCTACTGAGTCTTTAAATCAATGTGTTTCTAGAAATCAAGGATACAAAAAAAGTTACTCTTCCTTTGCCTTCCCTCCAGAAGAAAAGATTTTAAATGGGGACTAATGAAGAGGGTAGAGGGCTGTGGCCTCCTCACTTCTTACTCTAAAGCTCTAACTGAACAGCTGCTCTGCTGTTGGGAAGTATGATGAGTGTTTCTGCTCTGAGACAGATCTAGGAGGGGCTATGAGTGAGAGGACCACTGTGGTGGCCTGAGACTTGCCCCAAGTCTAAAGAACTCGGCCCAGCTCCAGTTCCACCTCAGGAGCCCCCAGGTGCCCCCACACCTTTCTCCTGGACTTTCCACTCCCTCTCCCTCACAAGGTTAGTTATTGGCAAGTCTCAAGAGAGTGTAAGGTGCTTTCACTGTTGTAACAAAGCATCCAGTAGACACATGCCAAAAGTAAATGTTGTTTCTAAGAGACTCGCCATCCCTGGACATTTCCATTACAGAATACATACTAATGCTAAAAAACAAACAAACACAGGAACAAGAGAAGAGAGCCTTTGGCACAAGACCAGCCCAACGCAAGCAGCAAGAGGGGAAGTGATAGGTCTTTACCCAGTGATGCAAAGAACAGGCCGTCTGTTTCCCAATTTCAGAAGCCCAAATGGGCAGGGATTTCCTCCTAACCTGCAAATCTCTTAACACTCCCAGAGCCACCTGGCCAGTTGGTCCAATCCAATCACAACTCTCCTAGAGCAGGGATCCTCTAGCTCCTTTTGCTCAGTCCCTGAGTGTGTGACAGGCCCTGTGCCACCGGGCTCCCTCTAAGTACGAGCAGAACACATGGTAGCTGCCTGTTTGGAATGACTTTCTGTGTGCCTCTCAAAGTAGCAAGGAAGACAGGCCCATGAAGGAGTGACTCTGACCTTGGCTGGCTCAGTGGTGGTCTTCACTGTAGAAAGACTTTGCCCTGAGCTGCCCAAACTCAGTTCTCAGCATTTAGATGAAAACCTGTTTTATGCCCTTGCGTTTTTCGATGATATCTGTCTGGAAGCACTCAACCTTGAGCAAGTCACACCTGGACTTTCCAAGGTCCAGAATCTCACAGGCACATGGTGCCCTTCCAAACTGATTTGCCAGCCAGAACAGCCTGCGATGGAAAGTAAGCATGCATTAGAGAAGTTTCTTTGCCCAGCAGACTCAAAGGACTGCCCCTAAAGACTGAACAGTGGGAAGGAAGAGCATCCTCTCCTCCCTGGCTTCACTTCCTCTCGTGCCCGTCCACCTGGATGATGGAACTCTTGGCCAGAACAGATGCAGGAGAGTGTGCCAGCCCCTGTAAGTTTTGCCTCAGAAGTTGAGGTGTTTGTTAGGCTGTGACCTAAGCAACCAAGTGAAGGAAATACGTGAATGGTCGATCATGCGCTTCAAGGCAAAGGTTCGAACAAGTCGGGCAAAAGCACAGCTCCATAGTCATGGTCAGGGTCTGGCAATGCTTCCTGTTCTCGGAAACACTTAACAAAATGTTATGGCCCGTTAATCTTCATCACTGAAGGTGTCTCCGGAGTTAGAATTACATGTTCTAGTTGCATAATGAAGAGTTGTGCTGATCCTTCCAGGATTTAGAGGGCAAGGATCTGCTTTTTCACTTTACTCCAACTCCACAAGCATCAAACAGTCACATATGTTAAAAAACAAAACAAAACAAAAAAACACTGCTGCCTGATTTTCTCATGTATATTTAAAAAGCTGATACGATTAGATAGGTATTCCTTATTCAAGCTCAGATTTGCCCCTGAAACCATCCTCAGGTAGCTCTGCATCTTAATTCATAGATCAATTGATCTATCACCTATCAGCTCTGAGGAAGCAAGTAAGGCCTTGTCCCCATGGTGGGCACACAGCGGGCACCAGGGATCCAGAAGGTGAATGCAGCCCTTTATATTCACAACTGACTTTCCGCCCTTACATTCTTACGGTCGTACAGCACCGAATCCAATACGACACAGAAGTCTGCCTTGGACTCTTCTGTTCACCCAGCTGACCCTTCTGTCCCCACTACCGTTTACACACGTGGCCCATTGACACCCATACTGAAAGACAGTGCTCTTGTCATTTACTGACCGTACAGTTCTGCAGATGACAGACTCTGCGATTGCTCAGTGGGGTACAGTGAGCCCTGGTAACAGCACCTTCCACCTGCAGGGGTGTTGAGCACGCACGCAATCACCGTATTGTATTAGAGACGTTTTATTGAAAATGCGAAAATAGGAAATGTATTATAGCCTAAAATAAATTACATAACATATACAGCATATATTTATATCTTTAAAATATTTTTTTGTTTGTTTAGGTTCTTTCAGTCTAGGAATTTCGACTAAATCAAGAATTTAGTGAACTGTGTCCATAATTTTTTAAAGGAAAAAACCCGCTTTCCAAAACTTAGAAAAATATACTGCACTAAATGGATTTCAAATGCGTTATTTCAGGGAATATCACATAGTGACTTTGAGATCGTTTATAAAATGTCTTGCGTTATCCTGTGGTGGTGGGAGGGAGTACCATAGTACACTCCAAATTACCTGTACCGCATAGTTATGACTAAGAATGGCAGGGCCAGGTAACATCTACTCAAAAGTTACAATACGGCAACCTGGCATTAGAATGCTAGATTATGACTTAAAGCTTCAGTTCACTGTAAAAACTAAATGTAAAGTTAGAACGCTCCATTTAACTCGCTCTAGTGCCATCTTCAGGAGGTGCGAGTGAAAAGCAAGCCTTTGGAAAAGTCATGCGGGAAGCTGCGGAAGTTTGGAGATGCGCTTTCGTGACAGCATTAAAGTTAGCTCATGTATATACACGGTGGGCTATGACTGACAGCTCCCTCAGATCTAGGAACACGCCAGGGGAAAGGCTATCGCCAGATGGTGTCACTTCCCCAGTCCGACGGCATCTCAAACCTTTCCCCGGCAGATTTCCGTGCACTGGCTGGTGCGGTGACAGTCCTCTGTCCCTTGATGTGAATGGCAACTCCAGACTGCAGCCTGCACCCACCTTCTGCATGTGCGTAGCAGACGTTGGTAACTCCGTGGGGGAGGGAAATGTCGTAGGGGTTACATCTCTGTGCAGCCATGACACTGGGAGGCAAATCAAAGGAAGCTGAATTTGAACCTGTTGATTCTTAAGAGAAAGGAAAAGGGATGGGATAGAGTCTGTGGCCTGCTGGGCAGTGGTGGCCCGAGAAAGACAGTGGCACACCCACAGTCCTTTGGTTCCAAGTGGAGATTGTCCGGGGAGGAGACAGCTTCAAAGACGAGGCAGCCATGTCCTGGGTTTTCGTAAAGCAGGGGCATGAGGTCCATTGTTTTGTCTGTGTTTACAAAGCAACAGTAAAGACCTTTCTCTCGGTCCCCCACGTCGGTGTAAGCATACCCAGTATGCTAGAGAATTTACATGAAACCTTTAAATCAAGGCCTCTTTCATTACCAAAAAACAAAACAAAACAACAACAAAACACGATGGGTGAGGGGAGAGATGATGCTGAAGTGTCATTCCACCCGTCCCTGCAGTGCCCTGCGGGGTCCATGCTCATTCAGTCTCCTCTCTCATCTCTACGATGTCTGTCACCTCCTCTGCCGGCGGCATGTCGGTCATCGCGGAGTCCTCCCCCTCAGTGGCCGGCTCATTCTCCATCTTCTTTTTCTAGACCAGAAAGGGCGCGTCAGTGTGGGCCGCGCACAGGCACTTGTCTTACAGCCCCGAGAGCAGGGAGGCCCTGGATGCTCACGTGACTCATTTACGGCCGGCGATCTCATGGGGGAGCGGTGTCTTAGTGGAGCGTGTTCCTTGCAGGTTGGTTGGTTGTGTGTCTTCCATGTGCCTGGCACTGTGCTGGGCACTTTGGGAGACACATCCCCCCCCCCGCCCCCTAGAACTCTAAGGCCCCTGTCCCTTGCTGCCCTTCTAAATGGGAGGCTGTGCTGTGCTGTCCCCTACTTCTCATGTCCACTTGCACTCCCTTCCTCGTGTTACCAGAACATTCCTCCCCATCGTTACCGGTCATACCGCTCAGGGACAGCTGTCATTCTCTCCCATCATCACGTGTCCTGATTCTGGTGACTTCCCTGCCATGTTGCCTGTCGTTGCAGTAAATGGCCTCTCAGTGAGCAGGCTCTCAGTCTCTTCTGGCTCACTGGAGATAGCGCCATTATCAACCCCTCCAGAGCTGCCGACAGACCAATGCGAGAACGCGGTCCCCTGCCTACCAGCTCTTTCTACCCAGCTCCATCCACCGATCCCACCCCCTTCTCCATGCTCACGCTCCTCTTTCTGTCATCCTAAATGAAATACGCAATGATTACAATCACTTCCTTGCCTGTTTTTTAAGTCGTCTTTGTCAGGCAAAACCCTGACCCTGCTTCGGCTCAAATCTCTCCAGTCTCAGCCTGCACCATTCGGCTGCCATGGCTGGGGAGCCCAGTGGC